CATAGCAGTGTGATGTGGTCTTTGCCCCTCATATGCCAACAATGTCCTTGTGAGACAGGGTTGCATGGTTTATATGTTAAGGTTCTATGCCATTAGTAAGGACACTGGGTAATCAAGAAGGCTCAGAAAAGAATGCAATCAAAGAGTCTGAAGTACAGAAAGCCTTCTTAGAAAAAGGAGACTCAGCCCTAAAAGTAAGAGTAACAAATAAACAGGGAGAAAGATGACATTCTAGACAAGGGAAAAGAAATTAAGGTTGTGGACTTATTCCTGGAATTATACTAATAAAAGCATCATTTCTTCAAACACTTTGGGAGAACTAAATCAAACCAAGTTAAGGGCATCTGGGGTCCCATGGGAAGAAGAATGATAACCAATGGCACAACACCAGATGGCTGCTAGAAGTTATAGGGTATAAAGCCCATGGCATAGCAAGGACATTAGGAATTAATTTACAAAAAGATACTTATTCCAGCTGGGTGCAGTGGTGCATGCCTGTAGTCCTAGCTACTCAAGAGGTTGAGGCAGGAGGACTGTTTGTTGTTCAAGGCCAGCCTGGGACAATACAACACATGCCATTTCTAAAATATAAAACAAGAAAACATTTTAAAAAATTATTCCTTCTGACAACCCCAGCAAATGGGGAAATTACCTAAGTGTTAGATATAACTGGATCAAGATTTCTAAGAAAATTAGACTCTCACAGTCCAGTGATTCTCATTCCAAAAACTTAAGATGGATCCAGGAATTTCACCTCTTTTAGGTACAATGTTCATATACTGAGTAATTCTTTTTAATTTGTATTCATTTATTATTATTTTTTTGAGACGGAGTCTCACTCTTGCTGCTCAGGCAGGAGTGGAATGGTGCAATCTTGGCTCACTGCAACCTCCACCTTCCAGGTTCAAGTGATTCTGCTGCCTCAGCCTCCCAAGTAGCTGGGATTACAGGCATGCGCCACTACACCTGGCTCTTTTGTATTTTTAGTAGAGACATGGATTCACCACGTTGGTCAGGCTGATCTCGAACTCCTGACCTCAAATGATCCACCTGCCTCGGCCTCCCAAAGTGCTGTGATTACAGGCGTGAGCTACCGCGCCTGGCCCACATATTGAGTAATCCCTACTGTGCGGGGTTTTAACATAGGTAAAATAAAACTAATCTTCACTGGGTTTCCTGAGTCTTCTAAAGTTTTTAGAATAAACATTCTGGGATATTTGGCCTGTAGAAGGCAGGTCTCCATACTGAGGAATAGGGCTGGAGTCAGGGAGAAAGAAGGAGTTGAGCTCCTTCAATTTCCACTTTCCAAGAAAGATTTAACAGCACAAAAGAAAAGGTCACATTAAGAAAAAGAAAATCAAACTGCTACAATTTATTTAACTTTTTAACAGGAAATATAAGTATGTAATGTAAACACTGACACGTGAAATAAAGTACAAGGATCAGGAAGACAAGCGAATTGGACAATAGTCTTGCTTTAACACTTCACTGCTTCCTGATTTCATTTGCAGCATAAATCACATGGTTATACAGACTGGCAGAAGTAACGGCAACATTCAGATTTACAGATACACCAGAAAGCCTCTGAAATCCAACAATGCCGTATGGAAGTCTGATCTTTCTGCTGCAAAAAAAAAATAAAGCTGGGCACATGTCCATTTATCCATTTACCCAAGGCATTTAATGTAGGAGCATAAGAATGCACTGATTAACACATGAGCTTTAATATGCTTGTGGAGGCCAAGATTAAATTGTGCCTCTTCTCCCTCTTCAGATAAAATAAAATTAACCAAATTAAAAGCAGAGCTGCCTGATACTGGCCAGAAGACTACATAATCACAGTGAATTCTTATTTCAATAAATCCCAGGAAATGCAAAACACAATAAATGATTGCCGTTGGAGCTTTGCCCAAATGGTCACCCTAGACCTCACGCTGCAGAATCGTATCGGGTTTTCAAGGTTCTTTCCTAGAACTCCAAAGTTGGAAAAATGACCTAGATAAATGGTTGGGATAAAGACCCATCATGATTTAAAACAAAGGGTCTATTTCCAAACTTGAATTCGGTAATAAAGAGTATGGGCTGTAATTTTCTGTGATTATCTCAAAAGATTAAAATAACCTGTCTTCTTTCTTACCAGATGACACCTACCAGATAGGAGGTAAATTTTGGTAATAGATGCCTACCGTGCAGACTGGTTCAGTAATGGTACTCAGCATCACAAGATTTGGGGATTCAGATAAGGCTGCTTTAGAGCTAGAAATCACAGAACCATGCATTTGCCAAGTATACCTACTTCCTCACTCACCCCATGATCAAAGGCTATTAAAAGTCATCTGGGCCGGGCGCGGTGGCTCACGCCTGTAATCCTAGCACTTCAGGAGGCCAAGACGGGAGGATCACGAGGTCAGGAGTTTGAGACCAGCCTGGCCAACAAGGTAAAACCCCACCTCTACTAAAAATGCAAAAATTAGCTGAGCGCGGAGGTGCATGCCTGTAATCCCAGCTACTCGGGAGGCTGAGGCAGGAGGATTGCTTGAACCCGGGAGGCAGAGGTTGCAGCGAGCTGAGGTCACGCCACCGCACTCCAACCTGGGTGACAGAGCAAGACTCTGTCTCGCAAAAAAACAAAAAAAAATTATCTGTAGTCCCACATCCCTCTATACTCCATAATCTATGGAGAAATAAGTATCTTGCATGCTTCCTCCTTATGGCAAGCAGAACAGTCAGTGTAGGCTGAACACTGATTTTCTGAGGGAGAAATGCTACTCTGAGCAGGTGTTTTGAAACTGGTTTTCCTAGGCAAAGCTATCCTTCCTATATCACAAAGTGATGGAGATTTTAAAAAATGTGTTTATAAAATATCACATGGAAACACCTTCACAACAAAAAACATTCATTTCTATATTCCTTACCTATAACATTTGGCACAGTGTCCTGCCATTTATTGTGCTCTCACTAAAGACATACATAGAACAGAGAGATCCAAAATCAGGTTTTAAAAGTGTTAGGAACTGCTATTTCCAAGGAATCCCTGCATCAGTCCTGGCCTTTGTTTGTGCTATATTATAATTAAGGTGTTGTTTAAAAAACAAAACAAAACAAGCAAGATGATAAAACAGACCAGCATTATACTACTTTGATTAGAAAAAAGCCATTCATCACAGACGGACCTCCATTCCTGGATTCTTATTTACCTCTGCGAAACATAGAGGGCCTTAGCTACTGTGAAGAACAGCACATTATCACTGTAAGTAAGGCAAATGTTTCACTTATAATTCTCTGTCCTACAGTCAGATCATATGTGCCAGTTTTACACTGGAAAATAGTAATCAAGTATTGAGAATTAAATACTAGAGATCTTTCAAGCAAGGAGGAGCCCAGTCTATCTTCACACACTCCCCAGTTATTGTTCTGTACTGTCTAGACCTATTACCTCTCCAGTGCTTCAACTCTGTCTCTGATATTCCTGCAGAGCAGATCTCAAAGAGGAGCTTTTTAATATTGCAACTAGCCATTTCTTCTGTTATCACTTCTTTTCTTCTCTCTTGGCATCAGTTCCTATTAGAATGCCCTCCTCTTTGAAAATGAAAGATGGGGCTGGATGCAGTGGCTCATGTCTGTAATCCCAGCACTTTGGGAGGCTAAGGTGGGTGGATCACCTGAGGTCAGGAGTCCAAGACCACCCTGGCCAACATGGTGAAACCCCAACTCTACTAAAAATACATAAATTAGCTGGGCGTGATAGCTCATGCCTGTAATCCCAGCTACTCGGGAGGCATAAGAATTGCTTCAACCTGGGAGGCAGAGGTTGCAGGGAGCCGAGATCACGCCACTGCACTCCAGCCTGGGCGACAGAATGAGACTCCACCTCAAAAGAAAAAAGAAAAAGAAAAAGAAAAAAAAGAAAAGAAAAGAAAAAAAGAAAAATGAAAGATGGAACTTCTGAAAAATAGATTCATCCTATTTGCAGATATTCGGATCAGTTACCCTTAGGGAAATAAGGCACCTATAATGTGACCCCAGATTGACTACACGAATAGTACTAATATTTGGATCCTGTGTGGCTGCAAAAGAAGACGACTTCCAAACAGAAGCACTACTTTCCTGCCACAGGTCAGGCTGCATCACACAGCACTGCTGTGCTAGTCTAACATACAGGCAGACTGGAGGCTCCAAAGAACTCAAAGAAATACAGATACAATTCTTCCTTAAAATAGAAAGTTACAGTATCAGTTGGGTCTCTGGTTAACCTCATCAGTCCTTTCGAGTAATGTTTGCATGGTTGAGTGAGGAATATGGAGGAGCAACAGATGAGAGTAAGGAAACCTAGGTTCCAGTCCCAGCTCTATTACTTACTGGCTGTGTGACCTCAGGCAACTATGTTTACCTCCCCTCACTCCCCACCCCAGCCTGTTTCCTTATCTGTAAAATGGGGATAAAAAAATCACCTGCCTTGTCTACCACATGTTGTGACTGTGAGGATCAAATGAGATGCTGTGAAAGTGCCTTGTAAACTGAAGTACTGACAGTAAAGGCTTTTTTTTTTTTTTTTTTTTTTGAGACAGAGTCTTGCTCTGTCGCCCAGGCTGGAGTGCAGTGGCCGGATCTCAGCTCACTGCAAGCTCCTCCTCCCGGGTTCACGCCATTCTCCTGCCTCAGCCTCCCGAGTAGCTGGGACTACAGGCACCCGCCACTTCACCCGGCTAGTTTTTTGTATTTTTTAGTAGAGACGGGGTTTCACCGTATTAGCCAGGATGGTCTCGATCTCCTGACCTCATGATCCGCCTGTCTCGGCCTCCCAAAGTGCTGGGATTACAGGCTTGAGCCACCGCGCCCGGCCAGGCTTTTAAAGTAATAGTATATACTTATTACATTTTAATTAGGTCCTTATAATTGCCTATTTGTCTAGAAGTGCCCCATGCAGGATGTGCCTCACAACAGACAGAACTAAAAAATAGGTGCTATAAATATACACTGGTCCTTTTCACTGGGGGTGGTTAAAAAAAAAAAGGAAAATTCTTAATTTCCTCAGCAGTGGCCTCAGATTACATTACTTAAAAATGTGATGTCATCCAAGTCTATCAATTGATAAAATTTTCTCCAAATATGTCCTATACAGTTGTAGTTTTGTCTGTTGGTATCTTCACACGGAGGAGTCTAGAATTCAAAACATAGCATGCTAAAACTAAACAAAAAAACAATACAACCATATAGTTACAGTGGGTTGTAAAGGAAATGAAAATTAGAGGCATCATTATAATAAAATTAGGTCACAGTTCCTCAAATGGTCACCTTTTTCCTGAGATAGCTCCAGGACAGGGTCCTAGTTCTGTGAAGTGCTTTAAAGCAGCTTAGTCTTGCTGGAGGTGAAAAGGACATGTGGGCTGGCAACTAGGCTATGTTCATTTTCAGCACGAGGATTTGAACAAGAAGGTCTGCTAGGAGCTGCCAAACAGCTTTGGTGGAGAAGCCCATATGGCCTAAGAGAGGCTTGCTAGTTCTCAGATGCCAGGCCAGAGTGTGGAGAACAGCTTAACACAGCCATCCAGTCCCAGGATTTTCAATTCTTCCTGTAAGTTGGTTCTGCTCTTCTCCGGTCTAGTAAATAATTGAACAGAGGAAAAACAATGAGATATGGAGCAATATATCTATCTGTGCTTTAGGGCCTTTCTCTGCCTAGCTGCAAAAAGTTTACATGCAGAACAGAGACGTGACACAAAAGGAGCAAATGTGATTTTTGACTAGAGTTTGAAATAGACTTTGACTAGCCCAGAGCACCCAGATTCCAGTATTCGTGTCAGAAGACCTTTATTACAAATGTTACAGGCGATGACTTGCAGGGAGTCAGGTCACTGGAATCACTAGTTAACAAGACGGTTGTCCTTTGGGGCCACAGGTGTGTTGCTAACCTCCACTTTTCTTCCTGATTTGCTTTGCTTTCCGGGGTTTGAGGATGGTGTAGTTTACATACACCGTATACTGATCTGACAGGAAAGGGACATAGAATGCCCGCAGCAGCTTTGAAGATCTGAAAAACAAGGGTTAAAAAAGAGAATTTTATCACTTGGGAGAATTTACTAATGGTACTAAATGTAATTAAAAGAAATAAACTAAGATCTGTAGTAAGGATTATATTTTATTCAAGTGGCACAGAAAAGCCTATTACTTAGGTACTAGATCATGATAAAAGACTTAATCAAGGCCGAGTACCTTGTCACCTAAATGAAAATTTATTATTGTCCCTAATATGCTACAGTATATCCTTCAGAAGAGCCCTAGGTCTTCATTTTGCATTAGAATGTGCCATAGAAAAATTCCAGGTCAATCAAAGGACTGCTATTGCTGAAATGAATTCTTAACACCAAAATGGTTTCTGCATCTAAGAAACTGTAGAGACGCCAAGTACTCAAATGGCCTGGACTCCAGCTCTAAGTTTTCCTGGAGAGGGGAAGAAAACTACATCCTGGGTGCCTGTGCATAGTGTTCCAGTATTGTCTAAGTCAAGGAAAGCGTCTACACACAAGTTCACGTTGTGATAACATGTCCCTGGTAAATTATAATATATCTACTTATTACTGAAACATAAGAACTGAAAACCTAAATTTCTCATGAATTTCTGAAGAATGTGAAAAGTGCTTATATTTTAAATATATTATCGGCCGGGCACAGTGGCTCACGCCTGTAATTCCAGCACTTTCAGAGGCCGAGGCAAGCAGATCATTTGAGATCCGGAGGTCGAGACCAGCCTGACCAACATGGTGAAACTCTGTCTCTATTAAATTAATAAATACAAAAAAATTAGCCGGGCATGGTGGCGCATGCCTGTAATCCCAGCTACTTGGGAGGCTGAGGCAGGAGAATTGCTTGAACCCGGGAGGTAGAGGTTGCAGTGAACCGAGGTCACGCCAATGCACTCTAGCATAGGCGACAGAGCGAGACTCCATCTCAACAAAAATAAAAAAAAATAATAAATATATGATTTAATCCATTTGATAATTCTATGAGGAAGTGGCATTATTATCCCTATTTTATAAAAGGGAAACTAGGGCTTCAAATTGCACAGGGTTACACAGTAAGTGACAGAGGCCTCATTCAAATCCAGGTTTGACTCCAGAGTCTGCACTCTTAACCATTACGGTTTATCATGCATCCCAGGAACAGACTAACAGGATTTGTCATCTCCTAGAAAAAGTTGTAGTGATAGTTTTAAATTCTGTATGGAGTATTACTTCCTGACTCTGATTTCTGAGTCTGAAAATCAAAAGTTGGCCTAGTTACTGCCATCCTGAATGAGGTAGCTGAAGGTGTTCCACTGCCAGTCCTTTTCCAAATTCTAAACTTGTAAATGTCATGTCAACGTGGCATTTGTACTGGCAGCCTACCCTTGGGTTTGGCAGACTCCTACAATGCCTGCACACAATGACACTGTGCTTGGCATGCATGCCTCTTAGAGATTCTTCCCAACTAGGACGCTGGCAGTGCCCTGTGCTCTGTGAGATTCACTTTACTTCAACAGTGAACTCTATCAAGGGCTTTGATAGAGAAAAGAGGTTTGGAGAAGAGACATGAGACAAAGCAGGGCTCCTACAAATAAAATGAACAGAAGGAGGAAGGATCTACCCCAGTCAAGGAGAAGTTAATGGCCAGGCACGGTGGCTCAGGCCTGTAATTTCAATATTTTGAGAGGCTGAGGTGGGAGGATTGCTTGAGCCCAGGAGTTTGAGCCCAGCCTGGGCAACAAAGTGAGACCTGTGTTTACAAAAAAATGTTTAAAAATTAGCCTGGCAGGTTGGCACACACCCGCAGTCCCAGCTATTCTGAAGTCTGAGCTGGTAGTACGGCATGAGCCCATAAGCCCAGGAGGTTGAGGCTGCAGTGAGCTGTGATCATGCCACTGCACTCCAGCCTGGGTGACAGAGTGAGACAGTGTCTAAAAAAAAAAAAAAAAAAGAAAGAAAATTTACCCTTTTCATCTACACTGCACAAATAAGGTGAAGGGTAAAGGGTAGAACAGAAAGATGCAAAATAGAGCAAATTCCTACAAGCTTTAGTAAAGAAAGTACAAAACTAACAAGTGTAATTTCCATTTTAGTTGACTCTATAATAAAAGCTTCATTAATATAGTCATTGTATATTTCTGGTCAACTCAGTCCTTGGTATAACCTCAGGGTCCAGTGGACCCAATTTTAGTTTTCAACTTTCTTTTTTTTTTTTTTCCCCCAAGAGACAGGGTCTCACTATTTTGCCCAGACTGGCCTTGAACTCCTGGACTCAAACAATCCTCCTGCCTCGGAATCCCAAAGTGTTGAGATTACAGGTGTGAGCTACCTCACCTGTCCCAGGTTTTTACTTTCTTTTTGTAGCAATTCCTTACTATTTGGGAGGATTGCTAGTCCATAATTTTATTCTTTTTAGAGTCTTCCAAAGAACAAAGATAAATTATACTTATTTTCATTTATTTATTTTGAGACAGGGTCTCGCTCTGTTGCCCAAGCTAGAGTGCGGTAGCATGATCATAGTTCACTGCAGCCTTGACCTCCTGAGCTCAAGCAATCCTCCCGCCTCAGCTTTCTGAGTAGCTGGGCTACAGGTGTGCCTAGCTAATTTTTTATTTTTTGTAGAGATCGGGTTTCATTATGTTATCCAAGCTGGCCTTGAACTCCTGAGCTCAATAAATCCACCTGCCTCAGCCTTCCAAAGTGTTAGGATTACAGATATGAGCCACCATGCCCAGCCTATAAAATAACTTAAAAATAGGCCAGACGCAATGGCTCACGCCTATAATCCTAGGACTTTGGGAGGCCAAGGTGGGTGGATCACGAAGTCAGGAGTTCAAGACCAGCCTGGCCAAGATGGTGAAACCCCGTCTCTACTAAAAGTACAAAAATTACAGCGTGCCTGTAATCCCAGCTACTCAGGAGGCTGAGGCAGGACAACTGTTTGAACCTGGGGGGTGGAGGCTGCAGTGAGCCGAGATTGTGCCACTGCGCTCCAGCTTGGGTGACAGAGCGAGACCTTGTCTCAAAAAAAAAAAAAAAAAAAAAAAGGTAAAAATATAGAAGACAAAGAGGGTCCATTGGACTGAGATAGTAAATGGTGATGACTATTTTCCTGGTAGGCTGATAGATCATGTTCAAAAAAATGATCATTTTCTGAAATTATCAGAAAATGATCTTATTCTGATTCCACTCAGGAGTTGGAAAAAAAATATTTCCTGATCACTAGGTGTGAATAAAAGAGAGAGAAAAGAATAATAATAATTTAAAAAACTATCTTGGTCTGCACATGGGATATATCATCATCAAAAACACTGACTAGCAGCCGGGCGCAGTGGCTCACTTGAGGTCAGGAGTTCAAGACCAGTCTAGCCAACATGGTGAAACCCTGTCTCTACTAAAAATACAAAAATTAGCCAGGCATGGTGGCGGGTGCCTTTAATCTCAGCTACTTGGGTGGCTGAGGCAGGAGAATTGCTTGAACCTGGGAGATGGAGCTTGTAGTAAACTGAGATTGCGCCACTGCACTCCAGCCTGGGTGATGGGGCAACACTCTGTCTCAAAAACAAAACAAAACAAAACAAAATAAAACACTGACTAGGCAGGTGTTGTGGTATGTTCCTGTAATCCTGGGTACATGAAAGAATTGCTTGGGCCCAGGAGTTCAAGGGCAACCTGGGCAAACACAGCAAAATCACATTTCTGAAAAACAAAAAAAAGTTAAAAAATAACTAGCTGGACTGAAATAGAAGGATTACTATGCATTATTGTTGAGTTCAAAAGAGAAGCTAAAACAAGGGTAAAAAATAAAAGAGATTGGAAGAAAATGCAACATATGTACCAGACTATTTGAATCTAGACTATATAAACTGGGCGATCAGTAAGACAATTCAACAGGAAAAATGACAAAAGATATGATTACAGAAGAGAAATGCAAATGGTTGATAAACATTAAATAATGATCAATCTTACCAGGAATCAGGGAAATGTAAGACTAGACACAATTTTCAATAATCAGGTTTGGAAAAGTTAAAAAGCCTGACAGTCTCAAACACTGATGAGGAATCAAGAAACAGATATTGCCAGTAAAAGTGTAAACCTGCATAGCCACTTAGAAAGGCAGTTTTAGCAGTATCAATTAAAATGAAAATTATGCAGTCCCTATGATATAGCAAAGGACTTTTACTTTGTACTTTACGCTATGTTATTTATTTATTTGCTTGTTTTACAAACAATCTACTTGGTTTTCCATTTGCTATGATTAAAAATTTCAAATATATATAAAAGATAAATTTATTACTTATAATAATGTTTTAAAACCAGTAGACAAATTTTTAAATAAAGGAAACCCTCAATTTTCAAAAACAAAAAGCAACCAAACAAACAAAAAAAATCAATGTGCCTACTATATGTAAGCATTTGTGTGCTGGCTCTGAAGACATATAAGTCTCTCTTCTCAAAGGGCTAATAAGCTAATTGGGTAGAACAGATTATGAATGATACATCATCATAACTTAGCATATGGCAAATTCTAAACAACTGACACAGAAGTTCAAAGTGATAATGCAAACATTCAGACGGGAGGTCAAATGCTGAGGGCCGGGTAGGTAGGTGTATAAGCAGCATTTAATAAACATGTAGCACATCATTTCATTTTATCCATCCAGTATTCCAAGGTACACTAAGCAGGAAAAGCAACTTGTCTAACCATAACCAAATCTACAGGCATCTCAGGCTAATACTCTGTGCATTCAGCAGCAACTAGAGGTGGGCTGAATAAATCCCAAACTCTTTCTCACTGCCTATAAATCCCTAGGAGATCCAGCCCTTGCCTGATTGTCCCACCTCACCTTGTGCCATCTTCCTCCTGGACCTCTACACTCCGGTCACCCCAGCCCCCTTTCAGTTCTTCAAAAATACAAGCTCCTACCTTAGAGCCCTTGCATATGCTGTTGCCTCACCCAGGAACACTCTTCTACCCTGTTTTTCTCATGACCGAGTTCATCTCATTTTTCATGTCTCAGCTTAAAAG